GGTGGTCGCCGCCGCCCCACGCGGGGCATCCATTTTGCACGATCAGCCGGCGCGGCGCGGAGGGCTCGGCGCCGGGCCGTCTCCCTCTCCCGCCAAAACCTCCATTTTTCTCTCCGTGTCTTCCTTGCGCCCGCCGTCTCCGGCAGGTCCCTCCCCGAGCGCTGCTGGGAGCTATCCCTCACCTCCCCATTGCCTCTCTGCAGCCCCTCTGCTGAGGGTGGGATCCCCCAAAATGCCGGGGCCGCACGCCCGGCGGGAAGGGCCTTTGCTCAGTGGGGGGTTAGGACCTGCCGTCATCGGCTCCCGCAGCCTGTGCCCCTGCGCCAGCGGAGGTGGGCATTGCCACCGCCAGCCGTGCTCTCCCTCTTGCAGAGCAACCCGCGAGCCAGGGCAGGGGTGGGAAATTCATATAAGTGCATGCATATTTCCCATTTTCTTCTTTTATCTTTGCTTTGTAACATGAGAGAGCATGCTTTGCCGGGGGGTGAAGGCCCAGGTGTCAAGGAGGAATCTTCCCATGTCCAGGATAGCTCCTGAGTGACTGTCATGCTGTGCCTTACTTTCCCGTTCAAACTGGAAAAGAGGCCAAGAAATAACTGAAAATGTGGTTATTGTTTGCAGCACTCAAGTCAGCCCTGTACCCTGCAAGTTGCTGCTGTCTGCTGTTCTCAAACCTGTTCCCGTGATGAGGACAGGGACTTGTTTCCATTTTGTTTGTCAGCATTTTACAGGCGGCTCACCTGACTAACAGATGGATTTTTCTACGTACATATGTGTGAATGTTTGTGGCAGACGGGGTGGAAGAGGGGGAAAAACCCACAAAAAAACCTCAAGAGGGAGGTGGTTTTGCCACTTGTGTGTGGCACACATGGTCATGACCAATGGTTAACTTTGTGCTTGAGCAACGACTTCATGGTGGTGTCCAGCACCAGGTGAACCAGTGGACTGCCCGCTTCTGTGGGCTCCGCTAAACTGAGGTCAAGTGGGGAAGACATGGTCACGTGTGTGGGTGCCAGGTGGGACCCTCCACAGTGGGACAGCCTCTGCCTCTTGAAGCTTCTAGTTACTCAGTGACACTCTTCTGTCTCTGCTGTCTCCTAAGTCAAGCAAATACAGGGGAGGCTTGGAGAGAAGAGGCAGAACTTACCTTTCAGATCAGGTACGCTGTGGCAACTTCTGTTGCCTTCAACAGTCAGCCAAAATGCCTTTTAGAAAGGATTTCCATATAATGTGAAAGAGTGTAACTGCACAGGCTGCATAGCTTCAAATGCTGAGCCTGGCACAAAAAAGGAACAAGCTTGTAGATTGCCACAGCCCTCAGAAGTTATTTTACTTTGAAATATTCTGAGTATCTTGTATTTTGAGTGATCTGAAGGGGACAGACCTTGACTCTGCTCTGCAGCATGCATGCTTCAGATAGTCAAATAAACCCATTTCCTGAGCAGGAGAATGACTGGGTATTTAGTCCCCAATTTTTGCTGGTTTGCTGGGTTGTATAAAGTTTTGAGCCTTGCTCCTTGTAGGCTTGTGCTTATCAGTGGGAAGATGTGTTCAGAAGCACTCCTTGTTTTGGGTGGGCTGTAACGGAAACCTGAAGCCAGCTAGGCTTCTAATTCAGGCAATTCAGTTGTGAGTGTGGGTGAGACGTGTGATTGCACATATGCGGTATGGTTTTGACTCCACGTGGAGAGGATTTTCTATACAGAAGGAATTAGCTTAAATGAAAGAGGGAACCCGTAACCCTTTCTCTAACCAGTTATTGGAGTAACCAGCTCAGTTGTATTTTTGTTGAAAACTTTGTCGCTCCTTTTTCTTCTCTTTCTTCTTTTTCCAGTTTACTGCCAGGCGGGTTTCAGGTAGGATTCACCCCCATACGGTGTTGTGCCTGAGCTCTGTGTCTCTGCTTTATGTTGTGTGACAGCATGAGGGTTGGTGTGCGCCAGTCTAGCTGGCATTGAGCACAGTTGATGGTCTGGTCTGCACAAGAGGGACAGCAAAAAGATATGGTGGTTGGTGTTTAGTCTCAGATAGGAAAGAAAACAGGAATATGGCTCGGGTGAAGGAGGGCAGGGATCTTGTTGCAATTACTGCCTCCACTACGTTTTGTTCACCCTTGATCTATCAAGTTCCTTGACCATGATCCACTATGACAGGTTAATGAGGCTTCAGTGGCCTTTCAAAAATACCACTTCCAGTTGTATCCCAGCTTTCAGAGAATAGAAAACAAAGTGGTGACTTTATTTTCTCTTGGTCTGTGTCTGTGACGCCAGAAGCTCAACTGCATGCAGTGTGGGACATGTTCAGTAGATGCTGGCTTGATCCTGGTGAGGTTTATTGCCTTGAACCACTGTGGTGCCAAAGGGCAGATGGGGATGTGGCAGAACCTCTTTGCCTCTCTTGAAGGATAAGCTAAGAAGTCCCACTGACTTAACCAAGTATGTGTAGAAACTAGTGGTATTGACCAGAAGAACCAGGAGGCTGGGTGGTGTGGAGAACTAGTTCAGCAGTTCTGGGCAGAATTGGTTGTAGTCAGCTCCAGTCAATACTGACCCAGAGTTAGTAACCCAGGGTAGATCCTCTCTGCTATATACAGCACTGTGTTTGGCAGTATATTTGTTTTTTTTTTTTCCACTGCCTGCTATATCCTCATCCTTCATGATCCTAGGGCCAGAATCCTTGCAGATCTGTGATATGCTGAATGGTGGTGAATGTAGCATTCATCTGGCCAAATGTAGTCATCTATGTCCAGGATAGCCTAGTGGATGTTCCTGGGGCATTACTCATCTCGGCCCAATATGCTGAAGCAGGTGAGTTCTGACCTGAAAGCTGCTTCCCGCTGACTGTAAAAGGAGTCACTGAGGGATTAGCTCGGATGTAAAAAATCCGCACTGTAAATGTCTTAAGTGCTTATCTCAATGAACTTTTGAGGTTCCCGGACTCCTCAGTAACTCTGGGAATGGTCTGTGGCTGTTTGCACTACGGGTGGATTTGTTCTGGTTTTTGAGCACTCCCTCCATAGTGCTGTTGCTGCAATATCCCTGGCTATATAAACCTATAAATAAAGAAGGCATAGCTGTTGGTCAAACAAAACGTAGAGGCTAACACCTACCCTGTGACTATGTACCGGCTTCAGGGTTTCTGACCACTGCCTGTGGTTCCTGGGCTGTTTGGGTGTGTTGGAGATCTGGAGCTGGGGCTCCCACCTTAATGCTGCAGTTTATAGAAACCTCGGGACCCTGCTCGCCCTGGCAGCACTGGCCAGAGCTGTCTTCCCTCGATGGTGGGTCAGCAGCTGCTGCCCTTGCAAGGGACCCTGACTCTGCTGGAGACTACCAGGGTCTATATCAAGGTCATAAATCCTGTGAATGGTATCTGATACAGAAGTGCCTTATTTCAGAGTTTCCAAAATAAAATACTGTGAGATTTTTGGTTCCAGGTACACTTTTTAGTTCTGGGTTTTTTTTACTCAAGTGGAGAACAGTGCAGAAAACTATTTTCGCAGAGGTACAGCTTTTGCGTGTTCAGGGGCTGCAGTAACTGCTATAGGAGAAAATACTCTACCAGCTTCTTTGCTGAGCAGGATCCCTCATGAAATTTTCTTGTTAATCTAACCTGTTCCTTAGTGTCTGACATGCCATGTCTTGACTCCTTTTCTGAGAAATCCATGTGATTGCTGTATTTACCAAAATACTAAATATTTAATGGTAGTATTTAGCTTCATATTTTCTTATACCTCTTTCTCCTGCCTTTTTCTGACATGAGGAATGACTCGTGGGTTTCCTTTCAACAGACTTCCAGAGAACCCAGCTGTCTTTTCTGAGCTGTACAGATTTCTCCATTTGCTCTTGTCTCATTTTCCTCATCCTTGTCATCTGTTTGTATCCTTCCTTGTAAATGTTATTCACCTCTTTAAATTACAAGGATGAGGATTTTACTTAGTATCCTGGTTTTGAGGATTTGCAATTAATTACTGTCTTATTTACAAGCAGGCTATGCTTTTCTTGAAATTTAGTGGCTATTTGACAGTCATCCACTTCTGAAAGTTTACTATAAGCCACTCTGAAGTTCTAAAAAAAAATTGAACAATGAGCTTTTTATTTAACTGAGGTTTGTCCCTGGTACTGATTCAGGCAGATGGTTAAAATCCCCTCTACTAGATGATTTATTTATTTCTGGAACCTGTTCTGTCAAATGAGGTGTTTGCAAAATAAATAGCCGTGTGTACTGTGACCCATATTATTCCTGGCTGTGTGTGAGCCTGACTGTCTTACGTTGCTGGGTATTTTAATATAGGCGGGAAGAACTGACTTGTAGGGTGGATGCACATCATCTTTGGCTGCAGTTGTGTCTACTGAGAAGTTTGCTGCTGGCGGCTGCTTTCTGGCGTCCCAGCGGCAGAGGCAATTACTGCTTCAGTTTTCTGGCTAATACTTGACAGAACTCTCCTGTCACTTGTTTCAGCTCACATGAGGCTGGGTAGCACAGGCTGCTTCAGTGGTAGGTCTTTGCTAACTCAAGTTAGCAGCTAGGTTATGTCTTGGAAGTTTCAACAAAGGAAATAGTATGGTATGTCTCTAGAAAATATTTGCTAACTCAAGTTGGCAGTGTTTGAGTGAATGATCAGAGATGCTGCATAGATAGCTCAGTGCATGAAGCAGAGAGGATGATGATGTCTGAGAGGTAAAAGGCACTGGTGGTATCAAGCATCTGGGAACATTCTGCAGCTGGTGCACTTGGAGCCATAAGAAAACTGGTGGCTACACTGATACGTTGCTACTCTGTGTGTCTGAAGTGGACCACGTCGGTTCAGTGGTTTGATTAAACCAAAGGTGAGTTTGCTTTGGCTGTGGGATATTTGTGGGGTGTGGTACAGTGCCACTTTCTATTGCTACGAAAGAAATACCATGCAAAATTACCTTTTAATTTTATGGGTAAAGCATGCTGAGGTCAGAGCTTGGGGGAACTTGCTTCCAAAGGATCTGCTTTCCCCAACTGCCTCTGCAGTGGGGTTGGGAGGTGGTGTAACTCTGTGGATAGCAGGGGAACAGAAGACACTCATGTGAAATCTGGAGTCAGTAAGCAAAAAAAATTTCTGCAAAATAAGAAAGGAGGAAAAAAAAGTACAAACTATAAACCATAACAAAGTCAGACCACTGATAATGCTAGTAGTAGTTTCATTTGGGAATCCTGATACGGGAGGTTTATTCAGATGTATATGTGGCAGGTGTAAACTTACTGTGCAAGAAATTAGTGTGATTTGATAAATGAACTGTTCCCTTAGGTTGAAGAAGAGCTTGCCTTCATCAGGTGAAAGATTCTTAAAATGAATTAGAAAAACTGCTGTTGAGTTTGTAGCAGTAGGTTATTTTGTTACATTGACTCTCTTATAAAGCCCTTTTAGCCAGCAAAGTAAATAATGGGCTGTGTCTTTAGAAAATATTCCAGAGGGGGTTAGTTTCCTCAAGTAACTAGAATATAGTCTTTTATCCTTAGGTTGCTGCTTAAACTCCACTCAGGTTGCATACTGCCTGACAGCTGTTTTGATGACCCATGTGAGAATTCCTAAGCAAGGGATGCTGCTGCATGCTGCGCTATTTGTTTTTTTCCTTCCAAAAATTTACAAAACCGTGACCTGTAACATACGTGTTGTGAAGATTTTTATTCTTTGTCTCACTTTGCAGCGACAGTCTGCGTATCAAACTTTTGTGTGCTTATAGCTTCCTAAAGTTGAGAGCAGGCCATTAAGAAAAATACAGCAAAATCAACCCCTTCACTTTTTTGGCTTTACCTAGAGCAGCAACATAAGGCTTTTTTGCAAGTTTTTTGCAGTAAGAATCACGTAGTTATTAAGAGATTTCGTCAATGAATGTATGATATAATTGTCACTGTAGGAAAAAAAAAAAGGGGTCATGTAGTTGAGGACCTGACTGACTTGTCCAGCACTGTTTTAGCAACACATTGAATAAAGGCATGTGGATACTGTATGGAAAGGAAGTGATGAAACCCGGCATTTTAAAGTCTGTCTTCCAATTGCTGCCTGAACTTGGTTGATACAGGTTTGAAGTATAAAGGTGCTGTACTGTTGTGTATCTGCCATGCTAACCACGGGTGCATTAGGCAGGACTTGCTGTGCAATCTTCTGGAAGAAAAGAGCAAAATGTTCTGGCACCCTGAGCAAGAAAAAAATTCAAGACCTGAAAGTCACCAGTGGAATGATGGATTAGGGTGGAGGTGCAACATCTTGGAGGAGAAAAACAATAGGTGGTTGTTGGGATTTGGAAATGAGAATTTCTGTGAGATTAGAGTAGGAATTTGGCCTCTAGCATCTTTTCAGTTCAGGAAAGCTACCAACATAAGCAGTAGAGTGGAAAGCATAACAGTCAAGCAACTGGAGAAGAGCAGAAGCAAAACACATATTCTTTGCTGTGAAGGTGGTGGGATTAGTGCTCAGGCAGTCCTGAAATCCAAACTTTTATGCAGAAAACTCTTACTTTTGAGTAATGCAAGTGTTAGGAGGAGTCATTCTTCTTCGGAAAGAACTGTTCAGAGACTTTTAAATCTTTCTATTAACTGCCCACAGAAAATCAGGTCCAACTCCATCAAGATGTTTTTGCTTCTGCTGGCTCTAGGTTCAGTCCATTTTCTGTCTTGAGGAGCAGTCTGAGTTCCTGTTGGAGTTTTCATTTCTGCTAGAGCCCTGCAGTAGCTAGGGAAGGCAGGTGTCTCTGGAGGGTCATTTTTCCCATCTCTCCTCTGAAGAAATTAATTTATACTTGGAGGTGCCTGTCTCTGCCTATTGGTTACAGAGAGGGATGAGGTGATACCCTTAGCCTAAATGTCTGTTTTGGAGTTGGCTAAAGCTAGTTAAGAGGAATCCGACCCCTCATAACCTGGTTGGCATGTAGAGAAACACAAGGATATCTTTCAAGGAAACTTGTGTAAGTGATAAAACCACACTGTGGTGCTTTATCTGCTCCAGATAAACCATTGCAGAAGTTAGAGTACTTTTGAACCAGCTTTTTCCTTCGAAGGAAATACCTGGAGATCAGGACACCATGGTGTAGGGGACCATCATTAGCACAACAGCAGCTCTTTGCTTTTCATGCTGCTCTTCAGGCCCTTGGGGGGAAATGATAATTGTTAGTTGTTTCATAGTTATTTTGCTTTAAAGTCACACTTTTTTTTTTTTTTTTTCTTTCCAAGTCCTAGTGCAGTGGAACTAAGGAGAATATTTACAGCCAGTAGTTTATTTCCTTCCAGCTGTTGCTTAAAGAGCAACTTATTATTTTATTATAATTATATTATTATACTTCAAACTTTCTTGTTCTAGATAAGTGACATGGGGAGAGATGGCACTGTATGTGCTCAGAGAAGTATGTTGAAATGTGTAATGCAACACCTTTCAGAGGTTGTCATGTTTGGGTCTCTCTCCATACCACCCCAGCCCTGTAAATATAATTGAGTGATTTCCTTTGATGCCAGAATGACGATGTGGAAAAATATAGTAAGATTTAAAAAATGCATTAGCAGGCTGAATGGTATTAGTAATTGTTATCCCAATAAAAAAATGCATACTTAGTCCAAACAGGATGCTTTTGCTGATAGGGACACAATAATTTTTAAGGATAGCTGTATAACTTCGCTTGACAGGACTATGTGCTGGGTGGCTTCATTTATCCATGTCACTGGGTTCCAGGTGCAGGTTTTCTGTATGAGGGACAGGAAGGTGCAGATAACATTTCACATAAAATGAGAAATCTGAGTAAGATTTTAGCCTACAAATTGGACAACTACTAGGCAAATGGGGTTGAATGACAAGTATACAGTAAATATTTTTTTTTTGCTCATGGGAGTTAATCTCTTCAGTAAGTTGACTTGCCCTTCCAAGCAAGCCAGAACAAGCTCCCTTCATGGAGAGATGTGAGTTGAGAGCTGGCTTTCTGCCGCACAGACAGCAAAACAAACTGTAAGTCTGGATACAAGGTAATGCCTCTCCTTGTGTAAAATGGGCTGAGTCCTCACTGTATTTAGTAGCAACCTCACAGCTGGGATCCAGCTGAACATGCCAACCTTTCGCATTTCTGACCTACTGGTACCTCTACATGGTCCCTGTGCTCGCTGCTTGCCCAGCTATCACATCCACTAGTGTTAGTTACGAGCTTTCTGCACAAATCTCCCTGCAGGCTGTCCAGCATGGAGCCCCCAGGTTGAAGGGGTGCAGGGTCCCTCTGCATGGCAGCAGCAGGAGTGAGACCCAAAACACGCAGCTTGTAGGCTGGCTTCTGGTTTGGCTAGTGGGTGTCATCTTTGTTTTGGGGTGAGAAAAAAAAAAAAAAAGAACAAGAGATTTCAGCAAGTTTGGATTTGATCCCAAGCAGAAGTGGAGAAGCCTTTTGTCACACTTTGAGAAAGGCTTTGAGATAAGTATGAAACAGGCTGTGCTTGGACATCTCTTTCCCTAGCGCCTCCCCATCAGCAGCCTTGAACGTTTGGGTTTGGAGACAAAACTCCCATTAGACCACAGCTTTTCCTGTCAGGGAGCAGGGGAGAGCTGAACGGTGAGCTTGTGGCTAGAAAGCATTTACCCAAAGCAAACAGTCTTCACACCTACCTCGCTATGAAATGTAATTCCATGTCAGTATTGTACCTCCTTCCTGGTAAGATTTATTTAGGTAGACTATATCAAAACTGGGCTCTGATATCTGTGTGTGAAAACAGGAGTGGTTGGTTACCCAATCGTCAGACCGGTCAAACATCATGCTTGTATCATTTGCAATGCTCTGTTACTTACTTTAGGCTTAAATGCCTAAAATGGATGCAGTTTTCAGAGGCATTTTGTTGTAAATCGGTCAGTGTTCAGGACCTGCAAAGTCTTTACAGTGACAGCTTGGGGGATTATTTGCAAAACACTCCTAAGACTGATTTTTTTTTCCCTGCAGTCAGTTGAGCAATGGTGTTTCATATGCCTTTTTAAAATTATTTATTAATTAGGTGCTCTTGTCGTTTTGAATAGAAGATTTTACTAGCTCTGGTGGTGTATGCAACTGAAGAACTGCAGAGCTGGGCAGGATTGGGTCAAACACTGAAACAAAAGCGGGTGACTTGTGCAGCATGAAGTTTTAACAGCAGGCAGGCAAGGTGTGGGCGAAGCTGCCATGGAAACTGCCTGTAGTGCTTTCAGAAAGGACCAAGTCTGCCTCACTGCTATTCCTAAATACTAGTCTGTTTTTAGTCGCCCTCTCTGCTCATGATGGCCGCTGTTGCGGAGGGCAGCTGCCTGGGGAGGGGAGGAAGCTGGGAAGATGATGCAATATGAGCAGCTTGTTGCAATCCTAGAGGCAGCGCAGGTAGTGGTGCTGGCCAGCTGGCAGAGCCAGGGTGGGCAGTCGTGGCCAGGATGATTTGATCTGAGGCAAGAAGTGTGTGCCTACTGCCCTGCCATGGTGAGGGACGGCTGAAGGAGCAGTGCCTCCTTGAAGGCAGGAGGTGAGTGTGGTGTCCATCATTTGTGGGCATGCTGGCTCCACTTCTGGAGGGAGGTTACACCCTGCCTCAAATATAGGGTGGCAGGTGGCTTTTATTATCCCCCCTCTCTTTTTCCGTCATACAGCCTCATGCTTTACCTCCTCTGCTTCATCTCTTTGCACTGTCCTTGGCTCCTGTTTTACTGTGGGTGTCTGTCTAGACTACAGTGACGTAGATACATCCTGTGGTCCTGACAGCTGGGCTCTGTGGCTGCCCTGCCCAGCCCAATTCCCATCCCAAAACAATGGTCCCTGGTGAGGCATATGTTATGGACTGGCGGGGTGGGGAGGGGTCATTAACTGTC